TACGCCACCAGGGTTTCTACAGGCATAGAGGCTAGGATTTACAACACATATTTTGGGGGGATACAATTCAATCCATAACAAACGCTTTCAGAGTTTTCACTTGCCTTGACTCAGTAATTGGCTGGTCTTTTCTGCCTCTCTAGCTTTGAATATGTTGCCTTTCACTTCCTCTCACCCACTCCTCTTTAAAAAGATGGCTTTTTTTTTTTTTAGTTAAATACTTTTTGTTTTTATCATGGTAAATAAATATGTAACAAAACGTTTGCCATTTCTACAATCTTCAAAGGTACAGTCGAATGACATTAATTATGTCCATCATGGTATTCAGCCATCACCATTAACCATTCTTAAATTTTCCCATCACCCTTAACAGAAGCTCAGTGTTCTGTAAGCATTAACAAGATGACTTTTAGTTTGTCTTTTTTCAATTGCAGGAAGGGGTACTTTGGAAGAAAAGATCCATACATAAAACACTCAATTCAGTTAATGCTTATTCTTAAAAAAATTCTAACAATTAGTCCAAGTTTAATTTGAAAGTTTTAAGTAACACAAGCTGTCTAAGACACAGACTGTAAGGCTGTATCTGAAATTGTTGTGAGCGAATCATCAAATGATACGTGAGTTTGGCAGTAGGGAAAACCCACTAGTAAATAACTCATTACCTTATTTATACTTTAAATCTATTATCTGTTTACTTAATTCTGCTTTGAATTACAAGTCATTGTTAGAAATTAATAAACTGAACTGATTTGGGTTTCTGTAAGTGAAGAGGCTGAATTTAACATCACTCATATTCCACATCCTTTATCAAAAATTATAAGGATAAATTAACTAAGAATGATGGAAATATAAACCAAAGGCTAAATTAAAATTTTGACTCACAGCAGCAAAGAAGGTGTTACAGTAAAACTTGAGAAAATGTAAATGAAAAAAATGTATCATTGTAATGAAAATTAGCTAATGGAAATTTCTTACACGTTCTTAAATCAACCCCAAGATGTCTTACTAATGGTATACTTTTCAAGAGACCAAACAACAAACTTGTAAAGTTTTTAAAAAGGTGACCTGTTAAAAATTAATAAAGCTTATTCGAAACCTGGTGATAAATCTGCTAAATGCAATATTTGAAATATTTAACTTCCCTATGTGACTGGGTACTAAGGAAGCAAACTGTAGAAGCAGCGTTTACTTCAGAGACATTCCCGGCAAAATTAGCACCGTTCCATTCTTCTAAAGTTGCCCATCAAAGAAGTCCAGCTTTTTGGCTAATAACACTATCAAATATACAAACAGGGGTTTAAGTAAGTCTGTATGTTCCATTTTCATCTGATAACTTCCTTGTATAATTAGCTCTGGACACATTGTGCAGCTCTACACAGAAGGCGGATACTATTGCTGCAATCTTATGAAAAACACTACAGGAACATAGAAATTAAAACTCCTACATTTTAAATTAAAGGGAAAGGAGAAAGTTTTCTAATTCTGAATACGGTTTTTAAAAAGAAAGAAGGAAAGAAAAGAAATCAAAGGCAGCTAAATTAAGCATTACATTTCACTTTTTAAAACACAGAATTACTGAAATAATCACGGTGCGCACACAGATACAGCTAAAAGGATATTTAGTGCAGAGTTGTTTAATACCATGAAAACTAGAAATAAACTAAGTGTCCAACAATAGGGGATTGGTTAAGTCAAGATATATTCACACAACAGAAAATGATGCTGTATAAGAATATTCCAGTGACACAGAGAGATGTCCATGCAATATAGCCGGGTGAAAAAAAGTAAGTTAGAAAACAGTATGTAGAAAATGAACTTGGTTTTGTAAAGAGTGACTTTCTAGCTATGCAACTTCAGGAAAGTTATTTGATTTCTCAATATCAGTTTCCTCCTCAGTAAAAAGGGGATAATAATCGTACTGACCTCATAGGCATGGAGTGCGGATTACAGGAGTGTCCGTGCATAGAGCAATTGGCACATTGCTTGGCCCACAGCAAGGCCAATATATGTTAGCTCTTGGTATTATACGTGCGAAGCGGTAAAAAAGAATGGGAAGATACAATATTAAGTGGCTTTTGGTTGGTCAGATTATGGCTGAATTGTTTTACCCGTATTTTTAAATTTTCAATAAGTAAGACACTACTTATAATATGGGGAAAATTAATAAACTGAAATATTCATACACAATGATAATTCAGAAACTAAATCTTGGCTGAATGGACCTTTCATATTTCATTTAAACAAGCTTGCCTGGAGCATTTAAAATTATTTAACTTAAGGGCTGAACTTGTCTATAATATTTTTATTGGATAAAGCAAAACATACTTGCATTGTTCAGCCTCGTAAGAATTTATGAGCTCCAATGCAAGAACCCTTACGAAGGCATTATCAAAGCGAGGCAGCCTAGTTCATTTTTCCATGTTTCTTCCCAACTCCCCACCTCTCTCCCACTTCTGGGGTTCTTGCTCCTCCTTTCTGCCTTCCCCCACCCCCATCCCCAAGCATAATCAAAGACCTGGGTCTCTCTCTACTGGACTGTAAGCCTCTAAAGGGCAGTAACTGTTCCTTCACCTTAGCGCCCCTAGCACCTAGCACAGTGGCTAGTATATAGTCATTGCTCGCTAAACATTAACCGAATGAATGAACTGAATAAATGTCTCATAGTAGCAGTTAGGAAGAGGCTTCAGTTCCCCTATAAGAGAATTAGATAAAAGTGAGTAGACTACTCTTAAGTCTGAAACTGTCTAGAATTCTCAGTAATTGTTCCTTTAAAAAACAAACAACATCTCACCTCAAGGTATTATTTCTTGAAAAGAAAAAAGTTCTCATTGTATTCCATTATCTATTTTAATAGAGGTAAGAAAATGATATTTTTTCTCCTATACTCTGGGCCAGATGTTTTATAAATACCATTTTGTTTAAAGTCTGACAAAAGTCCCAGAGAGTTCAAGTAACTTGCTCAAAATAAAACAGCTGATAAATTACTGAGATAGTTTCAGGTCTGATGTCCATGATTTCTCTACATTACACTGTGGAAAAACATGTCCCATGACCTTTGACTCTAAACGTTGATGTTATAGAAATGGTAACACCAAATGTTCTCATTAACTTCAGCAAACGCTTAAGATCCTTCCAAATATTTTCCCTGGCTTTTGTGAGGTTCGTGAGAAGAGAAACTGAGAAAAGAAGGTAGCAATCCAAACGTGTCCAAGTGTTTTACTCCAGCTTCATAAGTCAACCACCTTTACTTAAAAATAAAACTAAAGAAACCAAATTAAATATTAACTCTTATAAAAACACTTCAACCAGAAGACTGTTCTAAAGTAAGAATATGAGCAAACCAAGGGAAGGGCGATACAAGGAAAATTTTGCACTGCTTCCTTAAAAAAAAAGGTAGGGGTAAAGTTTTAGAGAACTTTCCACACATTCACTCTTCCTCCAAATCCCAGGTTCTTCACTTTCAGCCCCTGTCTGAGTGGCAGTTCCCGTGACACAAAGTTGGAACCAAAAACTTCTCAGATATCCACACTTGAACTTCCTGCAAACCCAGCACTTGTCAAAAGAGACCCCTAACATGGATTTCACGTGCTAAACCTCAGCCCACCAGGCTGATAAGCAGGAAAATGTGTGAAAATGAATTGTTTATTTCCTAAACCAGCTGGAATTTACTACTATTTATATATAAACAGCTATGATTTATTGACGTCTGGTTGCCAGAAAACATGTTAGGTGTTCTGCACTTTAATTTTCATGAGGAAGTAGTTATAATCACCCATTTTACTGGGTCAGAGTGTTGAAGTAACGTGCCCGGGGACCCACAGCTAATAGACCTTGAAGTTAGGGGAGAAATCAATGATTTGAAAAGTTAAGTATAGATTGAAAATCCATCACCTACCCAGAGACACTAAACAGTTGAAATCTCTTCAAAATGTACTATACGTATCAAAATGATTTTACGGTCACATTAAAGCCCACAAGACTTGAAATAGAAGCGTGGCAAAGATTAATAAAAACAAAAGATTACAGGGCATCTGAGCTATTTCAGGACCGCAGGTCATTAATAATTATCCACATGCCACAGATCTTGACGGGGTCCACTCCTACATATTTGCGCTAAGAAGTCAAGTCTCTCTTAAGGGGAGCAAGCTCTGGAATGCCAAACATTGAAAGATTTCTGTGTGGGCAGCCCAGAGCTGTGCTATTACCGTTCACACATCATTAGTAAGTGCCTCTCAAGAGAGAACAAGACAGTCCCTCCTCCGCCACCCGAACTTCATCCATGACCTCGGGTGGCTCTGGACAACGTATGGCTTAACCTGTGTCCCTTCAACGCCAGGACCGAGTTACCCGAAATGGTTACCAATGAATGGGCTGAATGCTCAAAGCAATGAGACTAAGTCACACAACCGTCAAACACAACCGAGGAAGGATCCCGGGGGCGGGGCGGGAGGGGGCAGGATAAGGGCCACGTCCCTGGTTATTCTTGCACCTTCCCCTCTCCTTGCGCTCCGCAGGACGCGCCGCTTCTCAGCCCATCCTCCCCTCCCCACAGCCTCTCCGGGCGCTCCTTACCAGCTCGCAGCAGAAGGCACTTGCTCCCGGGAGGGGGATCTGCGAGGGGGAAGAGTCCGTTGCCGCAGCCGCCGCGGCCAGCTCCAGGCACTGCCACCCCCGGGCCGAAGCCGCTGGAAAGTTTGCTGGGGGTCTCGCCCTCTGGCGCCGCGGCCCCGCAGGGGAAAGCACCTCTCTGGGTCGCTCTGGCGGCCGCAGCCCCCGAAGCCGCACTCGGCCTCCCTGCAGCACGGGCCCGGCTCCGGGCGGCCGAGGGCGGGGTCTCCCTGCCCCGCTCGGCCGGAGGCTCGGCGCTCGGTGTTTACCGCGGCCCGCGCCCGGCTCTCCCCGCCCGCGGCGCGGCCCGCGCCCTGCGCCCTGCGCGCTCCTGACATCATTCATTCTCTCACACCCTCACCCGCCCACTCCATTTCCAAACAGTGACTCACCCGCCCGCTCGGTGGCGGCAGCGGTGGCGGCTGCGCTCCTTCCTGCTGCTGTGGCTCTGCTGGCGCACAGCGGAGCTAGAAAAACCGGTACGACTTCTTAAGAAGAAATCTCCAGGCGACCCTCCCCTCGGCCAGCCTTTAAAGGTGCAGGGTAGGAGGGGCTTGGCAGGCAAGGCAGATTGGCGCTGGGCGGAAAGGCTGAGGGCCCCGGAGCAAACCTCTCCGTGCGGTGACAGAGATCAATCTGAGAAAGTTATTTGCTTGCGACTCAGCAAGTTTTAGGGGTGGGGCCAGGAAGGGATCCCCCACCCCCGCACCCCGACTGATTCAGGAACTGCTTCCTGACGGTGATGAGTGAGGTTCAGGATCACAAGTGTTTATTCAAAGGGTGTCGCCCGGGACCGAGTCTAGGAGGTGGGTTTCCAGACCTCACAGGGTTGCCTGCCAGGGTCAGCCACGAGCTGCTTGATGGCAGGCAACTCTAGGTATGAGCTGGGAGGGTGCTCCAAGTTAATGAGGCTAATAATACTTTCCCGTCGCTGACTAACCACCGTGTCATTTGTCCTATTAATTGATTTGCTTCTCATTTAGGGTAAGAAACCGTAACCAAAATAAACAAGGAAAGAATGATTCCCTCCTCAGCTGAACGCTGCGCTTTTCGGCAGCTTTTGGGGCACAAGACGGCCGTGTGAGTTCGTTTTTTTATTGTTTGTGTGGTTTCTTTGATGAGCTCCTCAGTTATTTTTTTCGAAGGGGTATTGCCATCTTAAAAATGTTCAAGGCTCTACATTTCCTGGCAATTGCTCTTTATACACCTGCTGGGCAGTTTTATACATAAATGATGTCAGCTTCAGAGATTCTAACCAGGATAACAATCAGAGGGCATTTGACCAAATCGATATGGAATTTAATTGATAGACACAGTGTTAATATCTATGATGTAATAGATATTATGTTAATATCTACTTACAGATAAGGTAATTATGTTTAGAATTTGCTTTGGCTTATAGGTGTTTCCATATAATCAACAAAAATAATCAGAGGCATCTCTGGGTACCTAGTACGAATATAACGTTGGTAAACAATCATTTATCTATGGTTATTAAACAGCCAATTAGAAAAAAAGGGCATGCAAGGCGGCCCCTCAAACTGACAACTGTAGGATGTTGTTACAATACAGAAGTTTCCCCTAAATGAAAACGGCCCTGAATTAAGCAAAGAATCAACATTATTCTTGTGGAAAATGCACTCATACAGAGCTATCGAAAGGTAAGAAACCAGAACACCAATAACTAAAATGTATTTTTCCTTGGGTTTCCTTTTCCTTTTCAATAAGTAACTCATTTTCAACTTAAAAAAGCCCAGGCATTTTGCCCAGAAAGCAATAGCAAATGGATTGGTTTGCTAGTCAAAGTAAATGGAAATTCAAACCAACAGTTTTTACAGACAAGCACAGGTCTAATTCAGAAGCGTGGGTGTCTTGTCCATTGGTAACATAGAGGGACCAGATTCAAATATTTAGAAACAGGCAACTTTGCGGGAGGGGGCAGTATCCACCTACTCCCAACTTCATGACCCAAATATTTTATGACATTATGGAGGTAGGTATAAATAAAATGTCCTACAGTGCTCAAAAAATGATGTTGTGGAGTATACAAATGATGTTTAAAAGCTCAAAACATATCCTGCTGTCCTTTTCTGCACTGTTGCATGATGTAAATCCTGCTGCTGCGTCAGAAGAAAGCCTCTGTCTGTCAGGGAGGCTTTTCAAGAGGTAGTTTTGAATTTGTAGGTACTATTGTGCCTTAGTTTAAATACTGTGAAATACATAATTAGGTCATTGTATTGTATCACTTCAATATCCCCAAGTAAATATAATAGTATGAAGTTTTTCCATTATAAAGTAAATTGTCAACATATGAAAGCAAATGATTCATCTTAATTTCTATGGTTTGAAAAATAGTGATTTATCAGTCTCACAGAAAGAGGTGGGTTTTTCTTGTTTTTTTAATTGCGCTTTTTATCCTTACAATGTATCAAAGTTTACTGAAGCCATGATTCATCACCTTCCAAAATTAATGATGCTTAATGCTCTGAGGGATAGAAAGGACTGACAGGTAAGTGTGTTCTTGTCAATTTTTTTTTCTAAACCTGTGCCTTCAGTAAATCAAGCTCTACAGATACTCCTTTGATATGATAAACATCTGAAGATAATTCAAAAACAGTTGCAGCAGTACATCAACAGGGAACTGCCAGAAATTCGAGCCAGATTCAGAAGAGGACATGGAACAAGGGATGTCATTGCTGATGTCAGATGGATCTTGGCTGAAAGCAGAGAATACCAGAAAGATGTTTACGTGTGTTTTATTGACTATGCAAAGGCATTTGACTGTGAGGATCATAAAAATTGTGGATAACATTGCAAAGAATGGCAATTCCAGAACACTTAACTGTGCTCATGAGGAACCTGTACATAGATCAAGAGACAGTTGTTCCAGCAGAACAAGGGGTACTGTGTGGTTTAGAATCAGGAAAGGTGTGCATCAAGGTTGTATGCTTTCACCATACTTATTCAGTCTGTATGCTGAGCAAATAATCAGAGAATCTGAACTATACGAAGAAGAATGTGGCATCAGGATTGGAGGAAGACTCATTAACAACTGCATTATGCAGATTACACAACTGTGCTTGCTGAAAATGAAGAGGACTTGAAGCACTTACTGATAAAGATCAAAGACTACGCCCTTCAGTATGGATTACACCTCAATATAAAGAAAACAAAAATCCTTACAACTAGACCAATAAGCAACAGCATGATAAACAGAGAAAATATTGAAGTTGTCACGGATTCAATTTTACTTGGAACCGTAATCAACGCCCATGGAAGCAGCAGTTGAGAAATCAAACAACATATTGCATTGGGCAAATCTGCTACAAAAGACCTCTTTAAAGTGTTAAAAAGCAAAGATGTCATCCTGATAACTAAGGTGAGCCTGACCCAAGCAGTGGTATTTTCAATGGCCTCATATGCATGTGAAATCTGGACAATGAATAAGGAAGTCTGAAGAAGAATTGATGCATTTGAATTATGGTGTTGATGATGAATATTGAATATACCATGGACTGCCAGAAGAACAAACAAATCTGTCTTAGAAGAAGTACAGCCAGAATGCTCCTTAGAAGTGAGAATGGCAAGACTTTGTCTCATATACTTTGGACATCTTATGGGGGGAGGGGCAATCCCTGGAGAAAGACATCATGCTTGGTAAAGTAGAGGGTCATTGAAAAAGAGGAAGATCCTCGATGAGATGGATTGACACAGTGACTGCAACAATGGGCTCAACAATTGTGAGGATGGCAAAGGACTGGGCAGTGTTTCGTTCAATTGCTCATGGAGTTGGTGTAAGTCGGAACCGACTCAAGGGCACTTAACATAACATAACACAAGTTCTAAGACTATTTGTGTTGTTATTACCATTGGTTTGTTCTTTAAAGTTTGCTGATTTGTTTATTCACTCACTCAATAATTACATGCCAGGCAGTATGCTGGATGTTAGCAAAATAATAAATAATGCTAAAATAAACAATCTCATCCAACATTAATAAAAAAAAAAAATCCCATTGCTGACACATACATTCATAAAATAGACATGGTGATTCTTAGATAAACACCTTGGGCATAAAGTGGTAAGTCAATAAATATTTGTTGGTTGAGTGAATGACTTAGGTAAATTCAGAGCGGCAGTTATTATAAGAGCAGATAAGTTCTGCAGATATGTACTGTTTTCTTAACTGCATCGTTATTAGGTACCGTCGAGTTGGTTCCGACTCGTAGGGACCCTATGTACAACAGAAGGAAACACTGCCCGATCCTGTGCCATCCTCACAATTGTTGCTATGTTTGAGCCCATTGTTGCAGCCACTGTGTCAATCCATCTCATCGAGGATCTTCCTCTTTTTCAGCGACTCTCTACTTTAACAAGCATGATGTCCTTTTCCAGGGCTGGACCCACTGATAACATGTCCAAAGTACGTGAGACAAAGTCCTGCCATTCTCACTTCTATGGAGCATTCTGGCTGTACTTCTTCCACGATAGATTTGTTCATTCTTCTGGCAGTCTGTGGTATATTCAATATTCTTCACCAACACCGTAATTCAAATGTATCAATTCTTCTTAGGTCTTCCTTATTCATTGTCCAGCTTTCATATGCATATGAGGTGATTGAAAACACCATGGCTTAGCTTAGGCACATCTTAGTCTTCAAGGTGACATCTTTGGTTTTTAACACCTTACAGAGGACATTTGTGGCAGATTTGCCCAATGCAATATGTTGTTTGATTTCTTGACTGCTGCTTCCAGAGTTTACAAGGCAGTAATACAATGATTCCATGACATCAGAGAGCTTACTGTGTAGTTAGGGAGACAATAACACCCAACACAGTGAAGATTAAGTCTGCGTGGCTCACCCTCTGGGATTTGAATTTTCAGATATTGCAGTGTTCCAGGCCCATTCAAAGAGCAGACACCTACCCTGGTAGAGCAGTGGTTAAGAGCTTGGCTGTTAACCAAAAGGTCAGCCACTCATTGGAAACCATATGGAGCAGTTCTACTCTGTTCTATAGGGTCACTGTAAGTCGAAATCGACTTGACAGCAACAGGTTTGGTTTTTGGTTTTGACTTATTATATAACCAGAGCCCCTGGCATATAATACCCACTGCCGTTGAGTAGATTCCGACTTACAGGGTTGCTGTGAGTCAGAATTGACTCAATGGTAACGGGTATTATATGCCAGGAGCCCTGGTTGCGCAGTGGTTGAGGGTTTGGCTGCTGACCAAAAGGTCAGCAGTTTGAATCCACCAGCTGCTCTTTGGAATCCCTATGGGGCAGTTCTACTCTGTCCTATAGGGTTGCTATGAATTGGAATCATCTCTACGGCAATGGGTTTTTTATTATATGCCAGGGACTATGTAAATACTTTACCTATATTATCTGATTTACTCCTTTCAGCAACCTTCTAACCTCCTCTGCATATGAGGAAACTAAAGACAGATTAAGTAATTTACAAAGATCACATTCAACTTCGTGGCATAGTCAGTACATACAACCAGGTATTTCTGGCCCAAAGTTCACATTTTTTGACCACCATTTCTTAAATTGTATTTGTACTGCTATAACTTTTCTTATTTGCCAATATTTTAAATTTATATTTGTTTTTAAAGCATGTTTATTTTAAACTTTATCAAAAATATGATAAAGTAATATTGCCATATTATTGAGCCATTGGGAAATGAAGGAGGAAATATAATCGCTGTTAACATTTTGGTGTCTAGT